CATGCCTAGACCTGTGACTCATCAGACACCCGAGCATCTGAAGGGAAATGAAGAACCGACGGCGTGCAGGTCAGCGGGCTCTGTCATCAAATTTCGGTTCGGAAGCACGGAGCATGCGTTGTGCCCCAGAATGCCTGTACGTAAACGTATATCGGACACGGTGATAGCACCAATGAACGTTGCTTTTGTACGCGTTGACAATCAGTATGGGGACCTGAACGTGACTGACCCCATGTTCATTGGCCATATCTGTACCTGCTCGTCGTATCCAATGGCGAGGACGTCCCTCTCCCATGTTGCAGAATGTGGGCGATGTCCGCGTGTCAAGAATGGCAACACACACGCATCTCGAACCCACTCAAAGCCCGCTATTTTGCTGCGAAATGATCTGATGGAACATTCGGTGTCTTGTTCTGACACCGCCACCTTCCCGAAGCTCAACCACATGCACACTGCGCCCGAGACCACACTTATCGCTATCCGCCGTGTTCAACGGATCGCGTAGTCTTCAAGACGGTCCATCGTCTGAAGGCCCTGGACGCCACGGGCGTATGGTGCTCTTGGAGGCTGCGAGCAAGCCTACGAGATTGGAAACATCTGTACTCACCAGAAATACCAGAGCGGGCACAGTTCGTGTAAGGAAGACTTCCGCGTGGTCTCAGGTACAGCCATGAGGACGGAGATGTTCAGGTGACGGCGCTTCGGGTGACTCGACATGAGATGCTCATAACATGACTCTGAAAGCAACGCTTCGTTCGGATGATGGAGCGAAGCATGATGGGAAGGTTTGTTTGTTGACTCGGGATGTGAACTGCCCCCTCTCCGAACGTCAGCACGATGGGCCTATCAAACACTATCAGATGCCGTGCAAAGAAAGCTACAGCGTACCGAGCGGCTTGCTCTCAACTTCAGTGGGTTCTGGTGCATGCGCTATTGCTTGAAGATTATCATTCCCTCGCAGAATCAGCGGGCGGCTCCGAATTTGTAGAGGAGAACAATGGGCGGACAAAGTTTGAGAAGGCCATAATGGCCAGAACCTGACCTCTGCTTCTCGGAAGAGTCGGTACCCTGTTGACCGTGTGGTCACAGTTTGATGACTTGAGAGTGCTCGCAGGAAATGTTCCGGTGTATTGGTCCTAAACAAATCATAGCTCAACCTATGCAGACAGACTCGGATGCACGGAAAGTTTCAACTGGATGGAGTGATGTAAATAATGTCGAGTGCTGTATCTGTTGCATTGAAAGCATGCCTGCATGCAGGAAGAATCACGATGCGGGACGGAATTTGATAATCGATTAATGAAAAGCCATCCTAGGCTCGGTCATCAAGTGCGAAGGCACCCACGAGATTGCGTTCTCACGACCAGA